ATAATGTTTCTGCTAATTGCAGGAACGTACAAGCAATCGTTTAATTCCAACATTAGACCACTAGGCAAGACTAAACTATAAGTTCCGATTGCCAAAGCTGCAACAGGTGCACCATTGCCGACTCGGAGTTCAATCTCGCCTCGAGCTAACCGTCTACTCTGCTTCAGTCCCTGCATGGTAGTACAGATATGAGACCCACATCCAGTATCTAGTACCCATGATGAAGATATAGACATGTTAACTTCTATAACATACACCTCAGAAGAAATGGTCGTACCTTCCTTCTTCTTGGTAGCGAGGTATGTTTTGCAGGTTCTTCTCCAGTTGCCTGCCTTACCACAGTGATGACATTTGCCCTTTGCAACTCCTCCTATGGGTTTCTGGGTTGCAGATGAAGTGGACTTCGATTTAGGCTTTCCGACCGTCCTAGCCTTAATCTTAATCCCCTTCTTCGGCTTCCCCTTTCCGCCTTGGACCATAAGGACGGAATCACCCTTGCCCTTAGTAAGGTTCTCCTCTGCAGTCTGGAGCATTTTAAGAAGCTCCGGAAGGGGTTTGTCAAGATCATGCATCATGTAGTTCATGACAAAACCCTTATACAGCTCAGGGAGCGACTGCAGGATCAGGTCCGTTGCCAGCTCCCTCTGCAAGGAGAACCCGAGTTTCTCCAGATTGGTTATGTAACCAATCATTTTGAGAATGTGCGGACCGACCGGGTTCCCTGAAGAGAGCTTGCAACTAAAGAGAGCCTTACTCACGAGAAAACGTTCATGCCTGGATTGCCCCTGGTATAGCTGCCGCAAGGCCACGATCATCTCGTGGGCCTTCATGTCCTCGTGCTGTTTTTGCAGCTCGGTTATCATGGTAGCCAGCATGACACAGCTAACCTGGTTGTCATCCTTGACGTGTTTCTCATAGACATCTTTGACCGCTTTCGGGGCGTTAGCGGGAGGGGCAGGAAGAATGGGCTTTTCGAGCACATACTCTTTCTCATCCATGCGGAGAACAATGCAGAGATTGCGTTGCCAGTCAACAAAGTTTGTTCTGTTCAATTTATCTTTATCCAGAATGGAACGCAGGGCGAGGTTGTTTGTGTTGTTGTTTGCCATCTACAGAATTTTGCAAAGATAGTTATTATCATGAATTAAGTATCTAATAGGTCTTTATTAAATACTCTCCCACTATTTCTAACAAGTCAGTGGATTCTTTTAAATAAAATTCTTAATTGGGCCAGATCCATATTTCATTTAACTATAGTTGTGCTTTGCATCTTGTCCTACAGTTAAATTATTTCTGGTAGGAATAAATTCCAATTGTAACAATTTACAACTCTGGTTGGATGATCTGATTTTATTTATTGATCATACCGCAGTGCCCTAAGTCTCTCATCCTTATGACCAAGACTTAGTTAAGACTAACCCGGGGCGAGTCATTACCCTAGTTACGGGTTTCGCGCCTAACCAACGTAAACCGTGTTAGCCTTGGTTTGCTAAGCCTCATGCTTTGATGTTAACAAACAATATAAGAGCTTAACGTTTGTTTAAGTATTTCAGGAAAACAAGAATCCATTAAGATTCGGTACTCAAGAATGAAGTCGAAACACTAAAACTAGCGTAGAATATAGGTAGAAACCAATGTAAGGATATGACTTTATATACCTTTATTCACAAGCTCAAAAGCACTCACAAAATATGTTTAAAACCATCACATAAACATTTTCAAATATCTAAAAGGTTTTAAACTCAAACACGAAGGATTAAGGGAATTTTGGAAAAATCAGAACAGAGTCACGGTACCCCTAGCGGTACGCCACACGGTAGGGTATACCGCCTACACGGTACCCCCATACCGTGTAACGGTACCTAGGTACCGACGGTAGGCGTAGACGGTTGGCCGAACCCGTCCTAACCAGGTACCGCCAGAGGCGAACTGAACTTTTGGAAGACACGGTACTCCCACACGGTAGGCCGTACCGTGTCACGGTACCTAG